CTAATGGTGTGTCGACATCAATCTTCTTGATCTATTCATGTTGAATAGGATTGTGTACAATAACAGCTTGATTGTTACAATATAAATGGATAGGCTCATCATAGGCAAGGTTTGAAATGTCAATGTCGGTGGAAATGTCGGTCATCCAAATATAAGAAACATATYGGAAATGTCGGAAACATTGCGTGGAATTATCGTAAAAGTTATAGATATGGTGGAAACATTGTAAAATATGCAAAATATAGAATGATATTTTATGAAATGATAAAAGAAGCATAGTCACATCTTTTTAAATTATTATCTTATTCCAAATCATTAAACAAAGCTAAGAAACTAAAGTTATAGACAAAAGAATGCATTTTGAAGTTGCCCTGTAAACCTCAAGATTCAAAGCTTCATGATAGAATGAGTTAAAGCAAATTTAAACTCATAGAAAATGTAAATGGTTGTAATAGATCAACCAAATAATCTATTACACAAACAAAAACTAATACTTCATATTTGAAATGAATATTGAGTTAACTCAAAGTGGTAATGATATAAGTTAGGTGGGCAATAACTTTCTAGTTCACATACCTACAATATTGTTACCAACTTATGTTATAATACTATCTCTTGTACTCCACATAGTATTGGTAGTGTTCATTGGGTATATGCCAATTCCAGTAAAATTCCATGTCATTACCCATGGAAGTGAAAATGGAAATATGTTATAGAAACTATCTCTTATACTCCACATAGTGTTGGTAGTGTTCATTGGGGAAATGTCGATTTCGGTAAAATTTCGTGTCACTACCCATGGAAATGGGAATATGTCGTGGAGATATTAGGGAAATTAGGGACATTTTAAACCATGAATTAATAGGCAATCCCAATCTCATCAAGCATTGATTGGATTCATAACATTTTGATATTCCATGTGCCATGGCTTTGCATATAGCTTATGCAATTTATAAATGAAAGTATATAGCTTATGCAATTTATAAATGAAAGTATATAGCTTATGCAATTTATAAATGAAAGTATATA